ATATTTATCAATAATAATTAACCATTTTGATTATATAAATAGTATAATTCTAATATTTTACTTATTGTTATACTTATTACACAAATAATTATTATAAATAGAACTATACAATAGTAATATTATTATAAAGAAATATTCCACATTAATTTTCTTATTTTTCGAGATACTTTTAGTTGACATTATAAATGTGATCAAAATGTGTACATAAATAATAATTATTATACTTTTATAATTATAATTTATTTAGTATAATGATAGGAAATATACTTTGATTTGTCCTATACGACAATTATGTTACATTCTTATAATTTTAGTTAAATACTATTAATCTATTTTAATAATTTAATAACATATGAATAATTATATAGTACTAAATTTATTTTTATATGTAATAAGTAGCACTATAGTTGAATTAATAATCATATAATATCCTTTCTATGTTATTAAATTTGATTTATTAAAATTTCGTGTTATTTAACATTATGTATAAACAATTTAATCATTTCGTAAAATTTGTCTAATTTCAATTGTTTATGAAAAATATTTTATCTCCCTTTCATTTTCTCCCTATATGTGTGAGAAGTTTATTCTAGAATTTTGTTTAGTTTTTATTTCATTCTATATTTTATTTTAGATTTTTTAAATTTATTTTTCTCATAAACTATCATTAAAAGATATACATGTATAACATTTTAATAACACCTGCAATGCAGGTGCAGGTTACTAGTATTAGATAATGTGCAAATATATGGCATCATAGGAATTTTTTTGCAAATATCCATTATGTTTTAAAGTGTCTTTTTATGATTTTTAATTTTTCTCAAAATATTCTGGGTGAAGAATTTCAAATATCCAAACCATGGTATTATTTTCCTGGGCAAAAAGATGGTTCGAAATTTAAAGTTCCAACTCATTTTATTTAGGAATTGGGGCAGTAGGGAGTTTGAAACAACAAAAGAAAACGTAGAATGCGCTCTTGTGAAAACACAATGTACACTTAATCCGTCGATAAAACACATGTTTAAATAGAAAAATCAACTTTTATTTCTTTTTTAAAATTATCACATGGCTGTTGTAAAGCGGATCTCAAAATTTGGAACAAAATTTTACATTTTAACCAAGGGGGAAAGTTTATAGTGAGCAGAGCACCCTGAGGATTACCTTATAAAAAAATTAAAAGAATGATTTGTGTGCATTTAATGAGATGATGTTCATTTGATTAATTTTAATTCCAAATGTGCATCCTTTTTCACTTTTTTACAGGGTGAATGTATTATTCTATCTAATTTTGAATCACCAAATTATTATTTTGACAAAGAAATTCGGATATCTAATTTAATTAGGTATTTTGTTTTGAGGAACAAAGTCTACAATGCACTCCTATAAGAGCACGCTACTTTTTATTGGGCTGAAAAAGCACATATATGATTGATTAGAACTTGAAGTTCCAAACCATCCCAATTACCAAAAAATTCACTAAAAAATTCAGTTCATAAATTCAAGTTCTGGACGAATCGCTCAGCCAAAAGAAAAAGACCACCATTCTAAACATAAAGTAATGAACTAAGGGTATTTTATAAAAAAAAGAAAAAAAAAATGAAACAAAGGACATGGGCGTAATAAAAAAGGGGATATCTTCCAGCACCTAAATTATAAGGGCTTGGCATAATAAAATCTCTAGAAACCCTGTATTTCTCATTCACCATCGGATACCAAAGTTAATTTTCAAAAGAATTCTCCACCACCATTTTGCCAAACTAACCCGATCGACTGATTTCAATTTTCTTATCCCAAAACCTCCCTCAATTTTGGCTGCACATATCTTCTTCCAACTCGCCAAATGATACTTCTATTGCAATTCATATGCCCCCATCAGAAATTCCTCTTCAGTTTTTCAAGTTCTTTGCACACCGACACATGCATCACTAGCAAAGACATTATATAAATAGGAAGATTTGCTAAACATGATCTAACCAAAGTGATATGCCCCCCCAAAACCAACTTTACATTTCCAGAGATCAAGTTTCACATAAACTCTCTTTAGAACTGGATCCCAAACTGTTCTTGATGGTTTACAATCAGAAATGGGCATACCAAGATAGTTTATAGGGAAAATATCAATCTTACATCCAACCTCTAAAACCAAAGCTCCAACAAGATCTCTATCACAATTGATTCTAAAGAAAGGGGTCTTCTTAAACATTACCTTCAAATCCAAACTTCCTCACAAAATAATAGAAAATTGGTGATATAAGCTACTTCTTTCCCATTGGCCTCACAAAAGATCATGGAATCATCGGCATACTTTAGATGTGATATGGCTCTCCCATTTTGACATACCTTAAACCCATTAAACTGGCCAAAACCTTCAACTTTAGAGATCAACTGACTAAAGGCATCTGCCATTAATGTGAAGAGGAAGGAAGATAGACGATTACCTTGTCTTAAACCTATGCTTGCTGCAAAAAAACCTTTTGGTGAACCATTTACTAAGACTAAGAAGTCACTAGAAGATAGACATCCCCAAATCTACCTCTTCCATTTTGCCCCAAACCCCATACATCTCGTAATCCCTATAAGCATTTGCCACTGCACCCTAAACCTTCTCCATATCCAACTTTAGCAAAACCTCCTTTGAACTAAGCAATATTTTTTAATGGATACACTATTGAGCAACAAACATACTATCTGAGATATTCATCGCCTTCCCAAAAGCTTATTGTGGACCTTTTATAACAAAATGTAACACCACTTTTAGCCAAGACTTCATATACACCTTTGCCAACAAACATATTTATTTAGTTAAGCCGATGACACGACATGAATTGATATTGCCACTTTATCTTTTTTCTCTACATATCAATGATGAGAATGGAGGGTGGGATATTATGTTGAGGTATCAGCTTGATGCAGGGAGAAAATAACAACCAGAATACTAAAAATAAAAAAGAAAAATGGTTGAGAAAATAAATCATCTCTCAAGGTCTGCAAGGGAATCCACCCAAAAAATAAGGTCTGCAAGGGAATCCAGCTCAAAAACAAATCATGCAACCAACTAGGTCCTCTTAAATTATCTCTTCCTATACCTAATTAAAAATAAAAATAAATAAACTCCAAAGTTTTATTTGCATCATTCTTTTCGGGTTGAGAGAAGCTTGACATCGAGCTTGAAGCGAATCA